CTAAATTTCTGGATGCATAGGGAACCTGAGGGGCCTGATGACATGGATTCAAGTACTCAATCTAGCCTGTGGTCTGAGGATTGAGTACCTTTGATCTGAACACAGGCAACATTGATCCAACCTCATCCTCTAAATTTTGTGCTTCCAAAACCAATGTTTAAACACATGGAGGAAAGTTTTGCAAACATTTTTGAGCATACTAGAAACAATACCCATCAAATCTGTTTGAACATTTCATAAATCTGTTTCAACTTCCAGAAGGAATTCTATAGTGATCCTCTTTTTTTGCCATTCTGTTTTATAAAACAAATTAACTCTACAGGACACATGAGTCTGATTTCTTGTTCTTCTCTTTCATTGTTATTGTATGCCTTTGAGATCATGTAAAGGTATTGTATTACATCAGTCAATTTATTGCTTAAGTCCAGAGATGAAAGAAAATTCTTATTCTGTCAGTCACTTTTTTTTCTATTTTTTTCTCTACATGAAACTGCTGTGTTTAATGCTAAAGGCCTATTCTTCTTTGAGTGTGTGGTTTTTTAAATTAAAATTATATTTTAAATTCTGTATTTAGCTAAAAGACCCTTTTTGTTGCTACTGAAAATGCAGGTACTGCTGCTGCCAGTACTTACCATAGCCGTAAAGAGAGAGTTGTTGAAATAGGGTAGGTGACTGCTTCCCAGCAATACAGAAAAGAATGATTTATGTATTTAGAAGGGGCTCCAGGGAACTACAGACTGGTGGGGCCTAATGGTTGTCTCTGGCAAATGGGTAGAAACTGTAATAAAAAATAGGATTGTTCATCAGAAGGGTGAATTGGGACTATTGCTCTCTGATCACACAGCCAACACTTACCCAGTCCCTCCTGATTTTGTTTCTTGGCCTCTTATACACTTTTCCCTTCCGGCCTTGAGTTCTGCGTCCTTGTTTCCCTAAAGTCTATTCATATAAGTACAGCCGAGACCGTCATTTCTGCTTCGTCACTCTGACCACATCCTCCATACCATGTTTGTCCCTCTGCTGGCCCCTCTTTTACTCAACATCCAATACAAACCTTTTCTCTTTATTTGTAAGCCCCTGCATGACTTAGACCAAAAATATATTTGGTAACGTTAAAAATCTTCCTCTATTTCCTGTATCTACCTGTTGTTGTTTCAATTTATGTCCTACCCTACCCTGAAAGGCTCAGGGAGGCTTACAATAAGACAAACAGCCCACCAGTAACATTAATTCATATGTATACACTTAAATTACATGGTGACCTTTTATAGTTGCTAGCTTTTCTGAACCCTTTTCTTTTTTTTTAATTGGCCATGTTGATAGCTCCTTCAGAAGCTGGTGATGAGGAAACCTATTTTCTTTTAAAACTCTTATGAGATAGAAAGGTAGAAAAAAAGAATACAAAATGCACCACTGTGGAATCTAGATAGCACGTTAATCTAATGACCTTACCTTTTTGCAATTGTGAGATTTAGTCTAGACAAATCAAATTAATTCCTAGAGAACATGTTTCACCAAAAAGAAAATAGACAATATTTAAAACTACCAGGATCTTACAAAAAGTAATAATGAGCTATGTTAGTGGGTAAATGGTAATTCCACTTTTAAGAGAATTTCTCTGATCAGCTGACGCTGTTGCACTGCTTCCTTATCCAATCAGTAGAAAGTGTGGGTCACAGTAATGAAACCTAATTTTAAAACCCTTCCTGCATTGGACCTGATGATTATGGAAAGCTCTTTGTGATCATGTGTCCTTCTTTGAAAGAAACACACTTTATTTACAAAGTTTAATACAGAAATCATGTTTCAGTGGAATCCAGCTGGCATAGTGTTTTCTTCCCAGCCCCCAAAAGTGGCACTTTCTTGGCAGAAATTTTCTACTGAAAAAATGGAAATGAATGAATGATTCTGGGAATGCATCCAGGTTCAATTGCTATGTAACCCTCTGTCACTCATTACTGCCCAGCTTGACTTACACCATTGACTCAACTTTGACTTCCTGTTTTAGTCTGTTAGAAATGTGCTCTTGATTGGATTATGTAAACTGTTACTCTGGAGTCAGCTGCTCCTGGGCCCAAAATCTACATGTGCACCCTGGGACTGTAGCACTTTGAGCCAGGGCGGAGCAGCCCTGGGTTGGCAGTAGGCTTGGGGAGTAGGCTGGAAGGGAGGTGGGGGGGCAGCCCAGGCTCTGGGTGGTGGTAGCAGAGGGGCCAGCTGGAGCACAAAAGTGCTGAAGTGTGGAGGCAGGCAGCCCCCATACTTTAGCACCCTGATGCTGTATCCAGCCCTGTCACCATCTACACATGCGTTTTTGTGGAGTAAGTAATTGCCCCATAAGATAGTACTGTACCTGATAGTATTGTCTTATGACAGAGTTAATTTATTGCAGCCTAATACCATCATACATGTAGACAGTGATGCTTTATTCAACCTGGGGAGAAGTGGGCAGAGGAGTCCCCCAGGGCTCGCCCTTGGGCCCGTGCTGTTAAATCTCTTTATCAGCGATTTGGATGACGGGGTGAAAAGCACCCTGTTTAATTTCGCTGATGATACCAAAATTTGGGGTGAGGTGAGCACACTAGTAGGGAGGGAAAGAGTGCAGCAAGACTTAGATAGGTTACAGGGATGGGCTAGCAAAAACAGGATGCGTTTCAACCCTGACAAGTGCAGGGTGCTACACGTGGGCAGTAGGAACCAGCAGCACACTCATAAGATGGGAAGCTCCCTTCTTGAGAGCATGGAGGCAGAAAGGGATCTTGGAGTCCAAGATGAACATGGGCCAACAATGTGAGGTCATGGTTGGCAGGGCTAACTGGACCTTGTTGTGCATCTGCAGGTGCATCTCTAGCAGGGCCAAGGAGGTGATCCTCCCCCTCTATGCAACACTGGTCAGGCCACAGCTGGAGTACTGTGTCCAGTTCTGTGCGCCGCACTTCAGGAGGGATGTGGACAACATGGAGAGGGTCCAGAGGAGGCCACCCGCATGATC